CCTGGGTGAGCCTGGCAGATACAGGGCCTTCTGTGAAGAGACAGATCATCCACAGCAGAGAAACCTGCTGTTTACAAACAAAGTGTCCTGTTTAGAACTATGTTTATGATTTTTTTGTTTTTACTCCTCATCGATAAACAAGACTATCTTTCTTTCTGTGGAGCAGATAGCTGGGTCAGGCTGGCTCCTGGATGAAGGGCCCACAATGACCATGATTCTCTCCTGTGTTAAAACCCTTAGCCAGGCACTAGTTGCCACTGTGGCCTGCTGGCTCAAATCCATTTCTTCCCTGCAAGACCATTTACTTTTCCTCCCATCAAATTCTGTTGCCATGGAGACCATCCCACCAGCAGGATGGAGGCTGAACCAACAGCTGCCTGCACCTGTGTGAGTCAGGCATCTTGGCCCAGGCAGACGGAGTTTCCTACATGGTCACTTGTCTGATTATACCATAGACATTTTTGGCTAGAAGCATATTTCCTTGAAGTGTTAGTCAAAGGCTGGGCACAATGGCTCCTACCTGTAATCCCTACTTGGGAGGCCCAGGTAGGGAGATTGCAAACTGTATCCAGCCAAGCAAGAAAGCACAGACCTTACCAAAAAAAATAATAATAACTATCTTAGGGTTCATTTCCCTAACATCACCTTATCTGACCTTTTCTGCTTGACTCAGACATATGCTAGATATTGCAAATAAGGGAAACCATGGGACCTATGTTTCTTTGGGCCTGGCTTACTTCACTTCATATAATTTTTTCCAAGCCTTTCCATTTCCTAACAAATGGGGCAATGTCATTCTTTCTGATGGAGGCATAGAATTCCATATGTTTTTTTTTCTTTCATGTGATTGTTTCTAACACATTTATAAGATTATTTCTTTGTTGCTTTGTATGTCCCTCCCCCACAGTATAACCCCTGCTTTCACTTGATGTCGGTATAATTTGTGGAGGGGAAGGGGAAAAACAAATCGTTTAAATAGTGATACAGGTGGACCCATTGCAACAATGAAATGTACAAGTCCTTATGTCAAAAAACGAACTTTACAACTTTGGGGGGGGGGGGGGCAGCGGGGAGGATTGGGGGGGGAGGATGGGAAGGGATGGGAAGGGGAAACAAAGGAGGAGGCTACAATGCTTGATAAGAAATGTACTCATTATCTTGCCCATATAATTGTAACCCCTCTGTACAGTATTTTTCACAATAAAAAATAAAAATAAATAATAATAATAATAACTAAAGGAGAAAGGGCTGAGGATATGGCTCTCATAGAGCACTTGCTTAGGAAATCCAAAGCCCCGAATTCAAACTCCAGCATTGCAGGGGAGTTGGGGGAAATTCATCAAAAGCATAATAAAAGAGCAACAAAGAAGATGAATATGATCAAATTACATTATATGCATGTTTGGAAATACCATAATGAAACATGTTTGTTCAATGAATATATGCTAATAAAAAAAGAACTGGCCAAGAGCAAGGGTGAAGATTAGCTTTGCTGAATGAGTTAACTGTAAAGTATGGCATATGTGTATGAATATATCTATATAATATATATATATATATATATATATATATATATCATCATCATCATCATCAAGCCAGGTGCTGGTGGCTCACACAATCCTAGCTACTCAGGGAGCTGAGATCTGAGGATCACAATTCAAAGTCAGCTCAGGCAGGAAAGTCCATGAAACTCTTATCTCTAATTAACCACCAAAGAGCCAGGAATAGCACTGTGGCTCATGTGGCAGAGCACTAGCTTTGAACCACAAAGCTCAGGGACAGAGTCTAGGCCTTAAGTTTGAGCGCCAGGACAGGCACAAAAAAAAATGTGTGTATATGCATATATGTACATGAATATATATATATATATATATATGTATACACACATATATATATTCACATATATAATCAAGAGGAAACATATACAAGAGAATAAGATCACATTTTAGGTGGACATTAGAAATGTAGATCCTCAGCCATTCCCTAGAATGCTAAGAATGAAGCATCTAATTCCAAGATCTCTCACACTGTTCACCATGTACAAGAACAATAGCAAACACTTGGTACATAATAAGTGTGAATGTGTGCCAAGTCCTTTCATGCAACATTCTTTTATCTTCCCGTACCCCTGCTGTGGCAGGTTGGATTACTTTTATCCCTGTGACATAGGTTAGGAAACTAAGACCAACAAATAGTTCTGGTCGACCAGCCCTGGCCCTGCGGCAGTAGAAGAAACGCACAAGATTGGGACTAAACCCCACCAGAGGGTCTCACAGCTTGAAATAACTCACAGCCCTGCTCTTGTGGATTCTAGAACAAGCTGGTACTTTTGAAGGTCTGGTGCCCACCAATTTTTAGTGGACCCTGTGATCCTCTCTCAGGCCCACACTTGTGAACCACTGTCGGACCTCACAACAATGAATGTCCTGTGGAACAGAGGATGGACAACCCCGACCAGGCAGATTTTCTCATTTTACAAAGGAGATACTTAAACTGGGCAAGCAGTGACTTGTCCTAGCTGTACAGCCAATCAATGCCAGAGCTGGCACCATGAGCAGGTCCCCTAGTCACGGGCTGGCGCATTCTCTTGACGTCACTGTTTCTAAGCCAGAAGATACAATGGTAGCTCAGCTCTCTGGGCCCAGTGTCCAGGACCAATCACCTCGCAGGAAGAAAGCTTAATCTGCCTCTCCAGAAGAACAATTATGCTTGGGCACCTGGGGTGCCAGGCCACTTATGAAATGCTTCCTCTATATCCTTGTTTCCAGGCCCCTGGGTATATCTGACATGCTCCAACAGCAAGACCTTAGTCATCCACTAAGTACCTCCTGAAATAAACCTGGAATCACTCAACTACTAAGTGGGGAAAGATCACTCTGTTTCAACCAGTAGGATCCAAGGGGTTGAGCGGAGGTGCCAGTGGCTTTAGGGAGAAACGTTCTGGCTGTAAATGCAAACTCCCCAGCCTATGCCCATGAGTCAGGGGTTGGTCGCCTTCACTCACGCACTGAACCTGAAAGGATCAAGCACTGACTAGGCACAGTGAACAGTGACTTCCTGCGGCACTGGGTATATACAAAACAGATGAGTGCCAGGAGTTGTACACACTGGTTACCCAGCAAGAAGGCCAGGGTGGGGCTTTAATGGGGGAAGATTTAGGGATGGAAGAAAGGTGTTATGCAGGGTAAATATCTCTCTAAAGTCTGAAAGTTGACAATGAGGACAGGTTCACAGGTAACACGACTTGTTTTGCTGCCTCTTTGGGGTTACATTGGGGATTGAACTCAGGGCCACATCCCTGCCAGGCAGGCATGTATGAGCCATCCCATCAATACCTTCATGTATTGAGTATTGTCAAGATAAGGTCTTCTTTTATGTCTGGGCCAGCCTGGACTGCAGTCTTCCCATTTGGGCTTTCTCCCATATCTAGGGTAGCAGATGCATACCACGGCAACCCAACCATTGGTTAAGATGGTCATGAACATTTTTTTTGGCCTGGGCTGGCCTTGGACTTAAATTCCTAATCTCCACTTCTTGGGTAGACAGGACTGTACTTGGGCCTCCTATATTCTCTTCCTTCTGCTAGATATCTCTTTCTCTCCCTTTCCTGCACAGGCCAAGTCCAAAGTCACCTCCTTTAAGAAGTCTCCCTGGCTCTCCCATATGTGTTTAATTTTTCTTGCTTTTTTATTTTGTTTTGTTTTGTTTTTGAGACAGAGTCTCATAATATAGCTTAATCTGGTCATGAACTGTTGATGCTCATGCCTCAGCCTCTTAAGTGCTGGAACTGTAGGTGTGCACCACCATGTCTGGCCTCGTGCAGACTCTGCAGACTATATGCAAAATTATGGCCATCTCTTGTGTCTAATGTGCTCTGGAACTTTACATAAAATGGCTCTGTGCCCATTTGGCAGGAAAGGAAAGTGAGGCTCAGCCTGTTCAAGGTCATACAACCAGTAAGCTGTATGCAACCCAGGTATCTCCAAAGTCAAGGACCAGCAGCTTCCCTTACCTCATCCTACCACTGCTAAAGTCTAGTAGTAGGTGCATCCCCAAAACTGTGCATCCCTTTGGGGCACTGGAGTCTTTGGTGATAGCTCCTATGCCCAATGCATAATTGATGCAAAATATATGATAAATTTAATTCCTTTGCTGAATAAGAAGCATGCCCATTTACAATAGCAGCTGATGGAACCCTGCTTCTAATCAAAGCAAGATACATAGGCATATACCGCCCCCCCCAGTCACCTCCACCAAATCACCCCCCACCACAGGACACCTAGGGAATACACATCTCTGGGAATTTTTACTGGAGTACTGATTCTGAAGCCAATAGGCTGGGGTCGGGTCCAAGCGTCTGCGTTTCTGGCAAGCTTCCAGGGCTGCTGCTGGCGTGACCCCATCCGAGGGCCCTATGGATCCAAACACAGCAGCCAAGGCAGCGCAAAGCACTTCTGTTACCTTTGGCTCGTAATGGATAATAATGATAATAATATAAAAAGCTTGCCTTATGCATTGTTCTCCTTCCAAAGGAGATTTCAAATGAGTTAGCAAAATACCAATGCTTGTAATGCTCTGGCCATAAACACTTGACAGTATGCACATTTGTTTGTGCCCCGAGCTTTGGTTCAATCCCATCCTACCAATAAATCAAGTAAATGAGGGAGAGGGGAGACTGTGGCTGGAAGATTACATTGCAGAGACAAGTGGATCGGGGAGTGGGGGAGGGTGGGGGAAAAGCCTCACTCTTTTCCAACCAGCCCTGGGCATTTTGTGACAAGCCTGAAGGCTGGCCAGGAGGCCAGGCCCCACCGGAGACACTCGCTGTCCTGTGGCCCCATTCCTGGCTGACTTTCTCTGGTAAACAGGGATGGCTTGGTGTGCACCAGTCCTGTGTACCCACACGGTCCCTCTGCCCAGCTGCCAAGTCTTAGAAGTCACCTATCTCTGATCCAAGATATTTGGAAGGAAAACACCCTCTTTTCTGCCTCCTTCTCTAGATGTCCCTGGGCCAGCAGCAATCAGCACGAAGTGTGGCTTGCTTGAGATGCAAGGGGACGTGTTCGGGCTTTGAGCCACATTCATGGAGGTAACAGACTTTGGCGGGGGGCGCGGGAGAGCAGGGAGGGAGGGAGGAGAAGACTCGTCCTGCCTTCATTTCTTGGCTGTCCTTACTGGGGAGCTGGGTCATTCTCTCGGCCAGCCAGGATTGCTCAGGTTTGCTCTGCATTGCGGGAAAAGGCAGGCTCTAGAGGGAAGGCTCTCCTGCCTGGCCCAAGTCTGGGATAAGGAAAAAGTCCTTGGGGAACAAAGATGGAAAGAGGAGCTTAGCACCTCATAAGCCTTTTCAAGGTGGAGGCCACCAAGCCCATGCTAAAACACCTATGTCCCTTAAGGGAGAAATATCCCCTTGCTCCAGTTTTCATATCACCTGCTTGACAGGTCTTTCCATGAGCAGCCAACCTGGGTGGGAAGGAAAGTCCCTTGACTTCTATGCATTCAGGGAGTGGCACCATCCCAGGTGTTTGGCAAAGGCAGCAGAAGTGGCCATCTGCACACCACTGAGGCTCTTTCGGGAGGCACCTGTGTCCCCTTACTACCTGGGTGCCCGGACAGAGTCAAGGTGGGACAAGAAGGGTGTCTTCCTGGTCTCAGAAAATCCCAGCAGCAGGCAGGCCTGGCAGCCTGATCCGTGCAGGTGAATGGGAGAATGACACAGATGCTGTGGCAAAGAGCATCTCATCAGCATGTCCCTAGCATTCTTCACTTCCAAACGTGTTGCATTCCCAGCAGCTCCATTTGCATTCTAAGATGAACCCAGACCGCAAAGGGCGGCTTCCTCATCCAGTTCCCTGTGCAACAGAGATGGGGAGGTTGAGGGTCCCACAGGACCTGGAGGACCAGCACTCTGTGCTCTCTTGAGTCCTTCCTCCTCTCTCTCCACTCCCTTCCAAAGCCCTCCCCTACCCGCCCCCATCTTCCATGCCCGGCTCCTAGATCATTTATAAAATGCCTCAAGTCTGCACACCAAGCAATTCCTTCTTATGAGGCCCAGAAGACTTCTCATTTCTGCCCTGCAGCAAGCTTCAGGTGTTTTCTCTTTTGTGGGGCTGATTTAACACTTCTCGCGTTGCAGCCTACTGACTGAATGTGAACTTGGACTCCAAGCAGCTCAATAACGCTTGACATGCTGGTGCTGGTGCATGCTCCATTGCTACAGACAGGAGCAGCTGCACCCTGAAGAGAGAGGGAGATTTGGACCCTTCTTATACCCACTGTATTCCAAACTCAGGACCAAGGAGACGCAGCCTTTTTCTGTAGCACCTACTAACCTCCTGGGTAGCTGGTCGAGCCCAGCAGAAGCACACTGTTCTGTTATGGTCCAGCCCTGTCCTGCTTTACCTTACATTTTCTGTGTGATTTTTTTCTCCCCCTCAGTCACCCTGGCTGAAAGCCCACTCCTCACACATGGCCCCAGAGCTCTATTCCCATCAAATGAGGGCCCCCAGCCCTGGCATTACTGACATTTGGGGCATGATCATGCTATGCTGTGGGGTGATCAGCACCATGCCTGGCTTCTGCCTACTCAATGCCAGGGACACCTTTGTTCCTCATAGTGACACTCAGGCCCCTCCCAACTTGGCCACACCCCAGGGGACAGACAGGGCTTGGTGGCGAAGCTACTGAAGCAGGCCAGCAAGAGATACCTCGGCTGGCCCCCAACGCAGTGACTGGGATATACACAGAAGTGCATTCGTCCTCCAGGCGTAGAATGGAAAAGGGCAAAGTGTCTCCTGCGGAGGCCTTCCCTACCGCGCAGTTGCTCAGCTCACATCACAAGCTCTGAAGTTGCCCACCCAGGAGCCTCTGAGGCTCAGCACAGCACAGCACAGCACAACAGGCCTGTGTGGACAGCCCGCCCACCAGGAGAAGAGAGGACGTTTCCGCTCACACCTTGGAACTCTCAGGCTTTCTGAGCCTGTGCATCAGGATGGAAGCAAACGTGTGCTTTCCATTGTCAGAGAGCAGCATCAAGCTTTCAAGTGGATCTGAGCCTTCCCTCCAAGTTCCCAGACTCATTTCCTTCACTCAGCTCTGCACAAAACCTTCCCAAAGAAGATGAATTTTTCTAGCTCATGGACTTCCCTCAGTCCCCTGCCTTCTTCCTTCTGGGCCTCGTCTGCAACTGTCTTAAAGAAAATTTCCTCTAGGTTTTCACACAGTTGACTACAAAACAGTTCCAAAGAAGCCTCAAGGCTTGTGAATCTTGGGAGATAATTCTAAGAACTCTTAGAACAGGTAGTTAGCAAACATTTTTTTTAAGAGCTAGACAGTAAAAGATCTTAGGCTTTGTGACCCAAATGATCCATTTGTAATTATTCAAATGTGTCATTCTAGCCCCAGAGCAACTACAGAAAATGTGTATATGAACATGTATGGCTGGCTAGATCCCAATAAAACTTCATTTATAAGAAGTAGGCTACAGGCCAGATTCTGACCTCAGCCACATATTCTCTTTAGAGCATCTGTAATGAATGCTGCCGTGATGACCACTGGAGGAAATGTGCTTTGCTGTGTGTGTGTGTGTGTGTGTGTGTGTGTGTGTGTGTGTGTGTGTGTGTGTGTGTGTGTGTGTGTGTGTGTGTGTGTGTGTGTGTGTGTGTGTGTGTGTGTGTGTCCACACGTGCATGCCCACGCACAAGTCCGCCTGGAAACTGTCCCTGAGCTTTTTTGCTCAAAGCTAGCACTCTACCACTTGAGTTACAGTGCCACTTCTGGCTTTTTTTTAGTAGTTAGTTAGACATAAGAGTCTCACAGACTTTCCTTCCTCAGGCTAGATTTGAACTATGATCCTCAGCCTCCTAGGTAATGAGGATTACAGGCGTGAACCACTGGCACCCAGTTCCTTTTTTTTTTTTTTATTTAACTGACAATTTGGACTGCAAGTATCTCAAACAACATTCACATCCTACATTCCCTCCTGAAAGACAGACAGACAGAAAGATGGTCACTGAGAGAGACTGTAAGAAACACCGCTAGCTCCTGGAGGCCTCCTTTGTCTGCTGCTAGCCTTCACACGTTAATAAAAACTTTGTCCTTGCTTTCCAGAAGGATGCTAGTTGGGGAGACTCTGCCTCCAAATCCTGGAAGTTGATCTTACCTGTTCTCCATCCCTTTCTCCCCAGGAAAATATGCAAATCATGCAAATGCAGCCAAGAGGACCACTGTTTGAGCTCTGACCTGGAAGATGACCGGAAAATCGGCCGCTTGCTGATGGACTCCAAGTATTCCACTCTCACTGCCCGGGTGAAAGGTGGAGATGGCATCCGAATTTACAAGAGAAACCGCATGATCATGACCAACCCCATTGCCACTGGCAAAGACCCCACCTTCGACACCATCACCTATGAGTGGGCGCCCCCTGGCGTCACCCAGAAACTGGTAAGACAGCTCCTTCCTGTCCAGTGATTGCTTTCCTGACCTCAAAGGTGTTAGCTGAGTCACGGATGCCTGAACTTCGGTGATAAGGGAGAGAGGACAGTTACAAAAATGACAGCCAGGGCTGTGAGTTTAGAAGACTGCTAGAGTGAAGAATGGCTGGCCTCAGTATTTCTCATCCATCAAGTGGGTGGGTAGAGGTGTTCGTATGAACTCTAATGCAGAGTTCATATGTGCTGGGAACTCTGTCCCTTCCAGCTAGAATACAGGGACACCTGCTGCTCCCTGTTGGCATCTCACTCCTGACTAGGAGAACGTGGATCGCCCCAAATTCTCCAAGCATTCTCCCCACCCCTGAGATTTTCACTTCTCATGTGGAGTGTGCTGCCTTCCAGCCAGGAGCCATCATGTAGCAAGTGGTAAGACCAGATGACTCCCCACCAGAGCACTGGGCCGAGAACAGCTCTGTAATGTCATCTAAGGGGGAAAAGGACTCCTAGAGGAAGTGAATTGAGGCAAAGCGTTGTTTGGATTGGATTGAACTGTGTTACGAAAAGCACGAAGCACTTTTGTGTGTGTGTGTGTGTGTGTGTGTGTGTGTGTGTGTGTGTGTGTGTGTGTGTGTGTGTGTGTGTGTGTGTGTGTGTGTGTGTGTGTGTGTGCAGCTCTGGGACCTGAACTCAGGGCCAGGGCATTGTCCCTGTGCTTCTTTTTACTCAAGGCTAATGTTCTACTACTTGACCTGTAGCTCCACTTTCAGTTTTTTGAGGGGGGTAGTAATTGGAGAAAAGAGTCTCATAGACTTTCCTGCCCAGGCTGGCTTTGAATCATGATCTTCAGATCCCAGACTGCTGAATAGCTAGGACTACAGGGGTGGGCTAGAAGTATCCAGCTACAAAACACAAAAGAACAACACTGCAGCTTCTGTGGGTACCACCGCCCTGATAGAGGGAGCTGCCTTGTGTGTCAGGAAGCGGAGATGGTTCGTTTGCCTTTGCTGGTTTGCAACACTGAGGAGATCCCAGGCCACGGTGCAGTGGCCATATGGACCAAGGGCTAGGTGGTCATGAGCTGGGCCGGCTCGCAGCACCCATCTGGAGCAGCCACCGAGGGCTCTGCACAGCATAAGTGCAAAGAAAGCACATAGGCCACAAAGAACCGACTGTCGGCGTCAGGAATGGCTGAGGAACTGACCGGTGAAAACCCCCAGCACTTGGCATGGTCTAATCAGGGGAAGGCATCGCATTGCGGCGTGGTGATTAATGCTGCCTCATAAAACTACATGGCTACAAAGAACTCCTCTGTCCGCCTCGCAGTTCTCCGCCTGCCCGGTCACACTTCTGAGACTGGCTGGCTCTCCCGTCCTGTTCGCTTGCCCAGCTTTGTGTTAATTACCATGTGGACAGGCCTGATTGTAGTTTGGACAAGGGACAGAGTCTTGCTGTCTGTCAGTCTCCCAGATGGCAGAAAGGCCAGAGAAAGCTTTAAGTCTCTCAAGCTGGTAAGGATGAGCCAAACTGTGCCTCCTTATCCGGTACTTACCATATGTCAGCCACTGTGCCAAGAGCCTGCCACAGCCTCTTCTAATTCCCCAGCCTTGGTAGGGATGTAGTTATGACACTCATCTACTGAGAGGGAAACTGAGGCTGACAGAGGGTGGAACTAGCCAAATGCCCCACTACTAGTTTAAATGCAAAGCCAGACTCTGAACTTGGGCCTCTCTCCTCCAAACATCTAGGTTCCTCCTGAACAAGATTCCAGGACTAGCAGATCAGAGGGGAGGCAGGCCAGAGCGCAGGATGGCTTCTGAGAATGTGGCCAGAGGGGGGCGGGGAGGGAGGAAGGCTGAGCATGTCTTAGATATCCAAGCAGAACTTGGGGGGAGGCACGAGGGAGACAAGCTAAGAGCCAGCCTCCAAGCGTTCTGTGTGCTTGCCTCATGAGGCTCTGTCCACCCCCTGCACCAAGCATATTCCAGCCCATTTTATAGGGGAGCAAAGAGAGGCCATGCAGGGAGGTGACCAGCAGCACTGGTGTCACCATGCCTCCTCTCTTCCCAGTCCTCCCGGCTGGTCTGACAAAATGCATCTTGCTCAAGGCTGGGGAACAGAACCGTAGCCAGCTTCCTGAGCTAGAGCAGCACCAGGCAGCCACTCAGCCCCAACCCTCCACCTGTTGCTCCTCTCCCTAGTCTGCACTAGTTGATGAGTGTTCTAAGGGATCCTGACACAGCATCATGGGTTGATTAGTGATGTCTGCCCTAATTGTGAGAGGGAGTGATGGCCAGAGTGTCAGGCCAGCTAGCCAAGAGGAGGCATGGCAGCTCACACCTGGGGAAGGTGGAGGGGTCTGTCTGTGGCAAAGCAGAGGGACGCCATCAGCCAGAGCCGGCTGTGGGGTGCAAGAGGAACTCTGGATCCCTGGCAGGAAATCTCCCTTTCTCCAGACTTCTGCCAGGAACCCATCTGCAGCCACAGACAGGGGCGGCCTGGGGCAGGGAAAGACACTGTGTGCTTGGTGACCAGTGGGCTTGGCTAGGGAGGTCTCTGGGATGCAGTACAGCATTCATTTAGCAAGCTGAGCACAGGGCAGCTGAGAGGGGGGCAGATGAGTCTCTGAAAGGTAGTGGTAGAGAGGTTTCCAAAATATGTGAGTTCCCATGGGGAATATGGCAAAGCGGGTCAGTAGAAAGCTGCTAGGTTCAAAGCTGTCTTTGTCCCACACTAGCTGTGCCCCCAGTTCCCATGGGGTGCCTCAGGGCCCGCCTCCTGTGCAGCCCTGGAGAGCGAACCCTGAACACAGCAGGTGATCCAAGCGCAGGCTGTGCCCAGCAATCTTGAGTCACTGAAATCAGAAGTGATTTAATCAGCCCGGTCAGAAGGAAGGCTTTTCTACCCGAGCTAAGCCAGCCTGATACCCTCTAAGTGAATGTGGTGTGTGCCACACTCAAGGCCCACTCTGCCAGGAAAGCAAAGCTCCTGCAGCAATTTTTCCAAAACCCCTCCTTGGATATCTAGAGCAGGTGAGGCTCAGGGCAGTATGTAGGCGACGGGTGTGTGGGTGTCTTTGCCACCCATGGCCTCTAGCTGCCCGTTCCCTGTCCTCTTTGGTCACAGCCCACTCCTGGTGCTGCCCCCTGCGTGGTCTGAGCCTCCAGTGTCACCTGGGATGGTGGTTCTTCTTCAGGCTTCCCCCTACTCAGTAAGACTCCCTGCAGGCCTAGTTAAAACTAGTTTAAAACTAGGTTCTCTGGACTCAGCGAAGGGACAGAGTTGGGCCAGAACCCACCTGCAGTTTCATACTGCCCACCATGGAGACAGCTACCAGCATGCTAAGGCATAGCCAGGAAGGAAGGCCCAGATGGGCCAGGCTGCTGGCATCCGGGAGCTGCCCCCCGTTCCTCTGTGAATCTGCCATGGCCTCTGACTCCATTGCTGACTGTCAGTCCAAGTTGGTGGTGTAAGAGGATCAAGTGAGATCACGCCTCATGAAGGGGAAATAGATCCAGATAGACAGACCTATTGCTTTGTGACACCTGGAAAAAGCTATCATGGCATGGTGGGAGCACAATGCAGAGCAACAGCACTCACCTTGGCCAGGAAGTCAAAGAGAATGTGTGGGTGGCCAGGAACTCCTGGTTCTCCCAGTTATCTAACTTCCTCCCATTAGGCCCCACCTCTTAAAGGCTCCATCGCCTCCCAATAGCACCACTTCAGGAACCAGGCCTTCAATAGACACATGAGCCTTTGGGGGCCAGTCAACATACAAACTGCAGCATCTCTACTCCCTGAAAACAGACAATGGGTACTACTCATTATGAATTTCAGTATGAGTTACCATATTGATTCCCACCATTTCAAATGAGTCCAGACCTGAGTGATAAGATTTGGCCAAATGGGTTCCCAGAGGACAAACATGGCAGCAGCCCCCTGGACAACAGAGCCAGATGACCTGTTGGTGAGGGACAAGGTCAGAATCAGGGTCAGACTGAAACTATCATCCAGGATAAGTAAAGTCCTCTATTTCTCTGATTGTGGCTTAGCCCTTTATTTGCCCACAATCTCCCTATCTTTTGAGCCCACCAAAGGAAAAATTTGTACTCTCAAAAGAAAACAGAAGGCAAAAATCAGACAGTATCTGTGAACATATTAATACTTAATTACAGGTCATATCTACCATGTGGAAATGTTATTGACTTGAGATTTTGTCAGCTCTACTCTTAGAAAGGGCCTTTGCATATTTTAAAGGCAATAAACCATGAAATGCCTTATGCCTTGTAGTGAACTAATTATTCTTTTCTAAGAAAAAGCAATTTTAAACTAGATTGACTTTTTCCCCTTTAAGTGTCTTGCTCATGGGGTAAGAGAAGTGAAAATATTCCATTTTGAAGGGAACAAGATGCATGTTTCAAAGCCAAACAATCTGAAAGGATCATGGATTTAAATTATACCATGGGACGCTCACCCAGTCCCTCCCCTGCAACACTGGAGAGGGGGCATGGTTCTGTGGTAGAGCACTCACCCAGCAGGCTCCCCCAAAGAAACCTGGAAGAATCCAAGGCTCATTCACCGGTCTTCAAGTGCTGAGAGTCCTCACTGATTTATCTGTGCATTTTTTTTTCCTCACCAGTGTAATTTAAGTAAAGTTGCAGCTAGTCTCCCACAGCAGTGACTCATACACTTTCTGGACCCCAGCACACTCCTGAACTAGGGGTAATGGTACCTGGGAATCTGCATTTTGGGGGGTCGCTCATGGGGCTTGAACTCTGGGCTGGATGCTTGATGGCTGAGGACAGTGCGTGGGCAAAGCCTGCAGTGCTCCTGCAAGAAGGGAGGGCAGAGGCTTTCCACGTGAAGGAGAGAGACAGAGACAAAACATGCCAACCGTGGGACCAATAAAAACGCATCCCTGCCCCAGGAGGGCTCCAGCTGTGCCAGGGCGGCGGCCTTGTATTCCTGCTGTCACTGCACTCTATGAGAGTTTCATCAGTTAGCAACTGTCCAGCAAATGGTACCCAAGATGAGGTTTTCCTTGTTGCTGTTTTGTCTTTTCTTTCTGTCTTATTTGTTCATTTATCTGTATGGGGTATGGGGAGGGGGACACAGAAATGGAGGGACAGAGGGTGAACAAATGCAGCGGTGCTACCAACAGGATACTCTGTTGGAAATGAACTACACAACTTGTGGGTGGAGACGGGAGGGAAAAGTTGGGAGAAAGCAAGGGGAGAAGTGACATTGTCCAAAATGAAATGTACTCATTACCTGACCTATGAAACGGCAGCCCTTCTTACATCATCTTTACAATAATGATTTCTTAAGAGAGAGCGAGAGAGAGAGAGAAGCAGCCACTTGCTGGGTGCTGGTGCTCAGGCCTGTAATCCTCGCTACTCAGAGGTGCAGACCTAGGATCATGGTTTGATGACAGCTCAGGAAGGAAAGTCCATGAGACTCTTATCTCCAATTAACCATCTAAAAACCAGAAGTGGAGCTGTGGCTCAGGTGGTAGAGCACCATCTCTGAGCACATAAGCTCAAGACAGCACCCAGTCCCTGAGTTCAATCTCCAGGAACAGCACCCCCCCACACACACACACACACAGATTCTGTGCCACAGCATGAACACAGGCTACTGCAATTCTTACAGAAATGAACATTTGAAATGATGAACATGCATACATTCTCACACACATAAAGAAAATGGCATTCAAGTAACACAGGAAAAGCCCAGAGGGATAAGTACAAAGTTCTTGTCAAGCCATCTCATGAGCCAACAAGGCTGAGTGTTTCATAGTCCTGTACAGCACACACAGGGAGAAGGGCTAGCGGCCCATGTGTGCGGGAGTGGTGAACTCTGACTCACGGCCTGGGCCCACCACTAAGGGTAAGACACACAGAAGTCTCCACACTTATGCTAAACGATGCATGCATTTTCTTATTGGTGACAATGGACAGGAATTTCCTTTTGGCAATACTGGAGTTTGAACTCAGGACACTGCCCTGTACCACCTGAGCCACACACCCCAGCCTTGTCTGCCTTAATGATTTTTCATGTAGGGCCTTGAACAGCCTGAACCACGATCCTCCTATTTATGCCTTCTGCATGGCTGAGATGACAGAACACCTAGCACAGTTAGATAATGCTTTGGGGATTTGTAAAAACAACTACATTCAGTTTAAAAGGGGGCTGTAGGGGGGAGGGGCATCGATGTTCTGTTGCTGGTCACAATGAGAGATGCTCATTTTGCGTTTGAAGCAGACTCTGTCGCTGCTTCTCTGATCAGAGTCCGTCCACCTGACATGTCTCTCCCCGCCCCCACCTCTCCGGCCTCCCCAGGGCCTGCAGTACATGGAGCTCATCCCCAAGGAGAAGCAGCCAGTGACGGGCACGGAGGGTGCCCTGTACCGCCGGCGCCAGCTTATGCACCAGCTCCCCATCTATGACCAGGACCCCTCTCGCTGCCGTGGACTTTTGGAGAACGAGCTGAAGGCCATGGAGGAGTTTGTCAAGCAGTACAAGAGCGAGGCCCTCGGGGTGGGCGAGGTGGCCCTCCCTGGGCAGGGCGGCTTGCCCAAGGAAGAGGGGAAGGCACAGGAAAAGCCGGAGGGCGCAGACACCACCGCCCCAACCAGCAACGGCAGCCTGGGCGACCCACCCAAGGACGTGGAATACGTGAGTGGTCCCCACATGTCCAGTCTGGCTGAATGCCCCCCACCCTGCGCAGGCCATCCACGCGGGGCCGCGTTCCCTCATGCATTCAGCAGAAACTGTCTGCTCGTTTCCTCACTCAGGCCCTGCTGAGTGGAAAGCAGTGCAAGGTGGAGCTCTTGAAGGGTTCAGGGTCCAGGGGAGGTGGCAGAACAGCAGACCACCCAGCTCAAAGGGCATCGGGGCTGTGCCAGGGGCAAGCCCCAAGCCGCAAGAAAGAAGGAGGCTCCGGCTGCCCTGGAAAGACCCCCTGGGAGCCATGCAGGCCTGTGGGCTTTCAGAGGGAGGCCTGTGTGTGGTCCCTCCCAGAGCAAGCATGCACAGAAGAAAGCCCTGCATTCCCAAGGAGCCCTGGGAGTCCCCCTGCCCTTGGAGTCCCCTGAGCATGCTCGCATGATGCTCCAGAGGAACCAGAGACACTAGTATGGGCAGGTGACACTCGTCCCTGGAGAGTGACACTGACTATCCACTGGTTAACTGAGTTCTGACCAGCTGGCATTGCCTGCTAAGCCCTACGAAGCCCAGCAGGCAAGAGGACACTGTCCTTGTGTTAGAGAAAACAATGGACTTAGGATGTGACCCTAAGGGTGATGGGCAGGGGCAGTATTAGGAGAGCTGTGTGGGCTGGCATCTCTTGAACTACCCACAGATGCCAAAAGAAGCTGGGACTGGCACCGTGGCCGGCCGATGGTCACCAATTCTTGCCCCCAGTGCCCCTCTGCCTTTTATCCTCCCCACCCATCATCCTTGCTTGCTCCTAGTTGACAGTTGGAAACAAAAGTCTCAGCACATTGGCTAGGCACAGTGACACACATCCATAATGCCAGCTACTGGGGAGGAGGAGATGGAAGGACAGAAGTTTCAGATCAGCTGAGGAAAAAAAAACTACTGAGACTGTTTCAACCAACAAGTTGAGTATAGTGTTACACACCTGTAATGTCAATTATGAAGGAGGCACAGGTAAGAGGATCAGAGTCTGAGGCTGCCACTCTTACTCCCAGCAGAAAACACGAGACCCTGAAAATTAAGGCAAAAAGAGAGCTGAAGCTATGACTACAGTGGTCAAGGGCCGACTGAGTTTAAAACCCCAGTACTGCCTGTGCGTGCGTGCGTGCGCTGTCTATGCTGCAAACATAAATACTAGAGATCTCTAACCTCTTGAAGCCTCTGTGACTCCCTCCTTCCCTCCCCACCTTGTATGTACAGATTTGCTGTCTAGCAGGCCCTGCGCAGGGTCTCCGTGTCTTTGAACCTATCCAACAATAATGACATACCTCAGGGTGTTGTACCCTTTTCACAGATGTGGAGCTTGAGGCACAGCTTGCTGACAGGTAGTGGGGCCCTAACTCCCACCCAGGGGTCGCTGCCCCAAGGTTCACGCCAGCAAGTCCGGCCATACAGGCTGTATGCATGTACACTGGCATTTGCAGGGGTGCGTGACCCCCTCAGTGGAACTCACAAAGAATATGGGAGCCCCTTCTGCATCCTATGAGAGCAGTGCTTCCCCCTGCACCCCAGCTCTAACCATCATGGCTCTGGGTTTAGGGAGCTGTGCCCCCAGCAGTCAGGTCGAGGCCCCTGTCCCCCAGTGAGCATACTATCCTGCCTGTGAGCTTGCTGGATGCCTGCTTGGAAATGAAGTCCACAGAACTCCTGGGTGTGCTCACTTCACCCAGGCATTTCCGCCCTTCCTCTGCCCCATACTTGTAACTAGAGACAGGGATGGCAGCCGGGTGCAGCGTTTAATGCACTCCTTGCTCCACTCAGTAGTCTTTCATTCTCGCCAGAGGTCCCACCCCCACCCCGTGTCCCTTTCTACTCACTCACTTCCTCAGCCAAGAAACCACCCCCAGACAGTACCAAACCCAGAGGAGCAAATACAGAGGGGCGAGGATGTGCTGCTCCCAGAGGCCCAGTGTACCCACCAGGACCCCAGAGCCAAGCCTGGCTAACCTTTCCCTATCTCCCCACAAAAATGCAAGGGAGGGCCTGGGAGGCCCCTCCCACCCTCAGCCACGGGGCTGCCTCTGAGATGGAAACTTACAGCAGCTAGCGGCTCAGCCCAAACCCAGCCCCAGGAGGGACATATTTGTGGGCAGAGTATGTCCAAGTCTCTGTCCAAGCAGATGTTTGGCTTGTGGGCTGGGCAGAGGCAGGCTGGCTGGCTGGCTGGCTTTCCTGCCAGCCTCATTTGGGGACCTGAAATCGCCAGCCTTTTAGTGCGCCACTTCTGTCTGAACTGGAGGAGGGGGTACGGGGCACGGGGACAAACCTGGAGCTGCTCAGCTGAGGAGTCCCTGGGCTCACCTCCTGCCCCTCTCCCTGGAAGCAGCCTGAAAAAATCACCATGGTAACCAAGCTTCTCAGCATCCGTCTCCCTCCCTCCAAGTGGAGAAATTTTAATGACATCCAAGATTTCTTTTTCCAAAGGAAATCCCTTTAGCCCACTTTTTCTACTCTGAATACTTTCCCATGTTGCCATCAAACCTTCGCAAGCATTCTCTTCCTTCCGGTGGGCTACGTGATATTCCACTGACTAAAACGAGCCTGCAAAGTATTTTTTGTGAAGGGCAGACAGGGGAGTATTTAAGGCTTTGTGGGCCCTACCATACTTGTTAGCTCAGCTCTGCTCAGCTCTTGTAACACTTCGCTGCTGTGGGCAATATCCAAACAGATGATGGTGGCTATGCTCTAATAAAACTTTATTGACAAACATAGTGGTACACAGGGTTAGTCCCTGGATAGATGCAAATTTCAGACTCTTGAGCTAGAAGAATCAGAAATAGTTCTAGCTTATTAATGGATTACTTTGGTTTAATAGATTTTGTTTTGTCAGTATAGGCTGGACAATGATAGTAATGATAAGTTGATAAAGGTAATAGTGATGGTGATGATGGTATTATGATGTTGGTGATGGGATGATGCTAAGTGATTTTGGTGATGAGGATAACGGTGATGTGATGGTGATATTAATGATATTGGTGATGGTGGTAATAATGATGATGGTAGTGATAGTAATGACAGTGATGATGTGAGGAATGGCGATGATAATCTTGCTGGTGGTAGTAGTGGTGATGGTGGTGATGATGGTGATAGTGATGATGTTGGTGATGGTGGCAATGGTAATGGTGACAGTTCATCACCTGGATTGTACCAGGTGCTGTGCCAGAGATTTTGCATGTTATTTTCCCACACAGATCTATTGTATCATTTTTCACAGACGAGGCAGTTGAGATGTTCTTAGCAAAGTTCATCTGCAGGGTACAGTCCCTCAGCACATAGTGTATCAACTCAGCGGACTAGAAGCAACGTTTGTTTTAGTTGAAAGAAAAAAATAAGAGTATTCCAACCGCACATGGAGTCTAACCCCCCCCCATCCCCCACCCCCGCACACATGTGAGGCTCTAGGCATCGTACAAGCCACTGCCATAGAAGAGAAGGCATTTCAGATTTTTCTCTACTCAGCAAGAAACCAGTCCTTGATCTTGTGGTTACCAAAGCTAGACCTAAGAACAAGTCCAGAGTAATGTCCTTTCCCACAAGACTAGCTTTCCTACCACACTCCCACTTCACCACTCAAGCTAGGAAGATCCAGTGAGAGATGCCCAATATTTTACCTGCTTTGCCAAAGAGCCCACAGCTGCCCACCTGCCCCCGGGAGCAGCCTGAGAAAGGGCGAGTGAGCAGTGGTGACGGCCATGCAGGAAGCATGCCCTATGAGCCACTTGTTAAACACTGACACTCACGGCTGCAGAGGACTGGCCCAGAGGTTCCCCAGTGATGAAGCCGTAGTGCAAACTGCGTCCCATGGCACGTGACCCCAGCGACCGCACAACCAGCCTGCTCCTTCTCCACCACAAGGAGCATCAGAAACACGGGACTAGCAAGACAGAAAAAAAAAAAAAAAGGAAAAAATAAACCTCTGGATGCAGGAGGCTATAAAGCAAAGACAGGGAATAATCACCATAAGAGGAAATGAGGAGCTGCTGTTTATAAATAAATTGTTGAGTGTTTATCTTGGAGGCCAGTGCCTCAATTTGAGGCCTTGTGTTAATATTTACTGGGGTGGCGTGATGAGAGTTCCACCAGCCTCTCTGGGTTTAGACTAGGTAGCCTTGGATAAGAGCCTTCCAGAAGAAAACAGTGCGATGAGGACAAGGCCTCTGGCAGGCCCCGGGGTGGGGCTTCTCGCGAGAGCAGAGGCTTCCCCATGCTGCAGCTCCTCCTGCAGGGCTGTCTTCACAGGCTGGCTCTTGGGCCACTGCCCTAACCATGATGTTGCCTGAAACATTGTGTCTTCTTGCTGCCCTTCCAGCGTCCTTTATAATTCCGCACTTCACCATTGAACTTCTTGTTACCTGATGAGCCTATCCAGACATTCCAAGGCAGAGAGCCAAAGGCAACAATGTCTTTTGTTGCTGTTGTTGTTGTTGTTGTTATTTTGTGATGGTAGGACTAGGGTTTGAACTCAGGGCCTCATTCTTGCTGGGCAGGTAGGTGCTCTACCACTTGAACCATGCCTTCAGCCTTTTTTTGCTTGTTATTCTGCTCCTATTTTCGTAGGATCTCACATTTTTTTCCTCGGCCTTGAGCTACAATCCTTCTACCTAGGCCACTGGTGTAGCTGGGATGGCAGGCATGTGCCACCACACCCAGGCCAGTATGTCTGCTTTATTCATATATCAGCACACTGGCTTATGGGGGACAGTTCCATCCACTCAGCCTTACCTACAGTAGCTCAGACACCTACATCCAGCCTGATGTGGGAGATGCACACAGCTGGGCTGGGTGTGGATGAGCAGGGACTGTCTTACCACCATCACCCTGGCATGGAAGCAGCAGGATGCTACAACTTCTCCTTTGCCTGACCACTACCCTGGGGAGTGAGAGAGCCAGCCCAGGGCCAAGCTACACCAACCATCTCCACCGCTCCACCACTCCCCTTACAACGCTCTGATTTCCCAATGGGAAAATGATAGGCCTCAGTGGGACTAAAGTGTCATGGCAGAAGGTGAATGCTGGGCTTTCCCTGGCCTAGCCATAGGAGGGTTTTGTCTTGAAGCTAGAATGCAGCTCTCAGTCAGGCCCCACGACGCCTTGGTACACAGCATTGCTACCTGGGTCATGTGTTGCTGATGTGTTGCTTTTTTGTTTTTCTTCACCTTGGTTGTGGGGCTTAACCTCAGGGCCTGGGTCCTGTCCCTGAGCTTTCTTATTCAAGCCTAGTGCTCTTCCACTTTGAGCCACAGCTCCACTTCCAGTTTCCTGGTGTTAACTGGAGATAAAGAGCCTCATGGACTTCCCTGCCTGAGCTGGCTTTGAACCAGGATCCTCACATCTCAGCCTCCTAAGCATGAGCCACCATCAACCGGATGGTGCACTGTTGACTTGCGACATTTCTGACTTCTGATGGGTTGATCGGGACACTGCCCACTGCAGATGGAGGAACATTGTGTTGCCTTCATGACTACCTCTCAAGTCATTACTCCAGCCGTGTCTTGATCCATAGTCAAGTCGCTAAGTCCAGGGAGAAGGAATGAAAATCTGTGCTCACTGGAAGAGTGTCCAAGCATCTGACCGCATGCTTTGAGCAGCCCCGCTGGGCTCAGCAGAATCTAACCAGCTCCTCCATCTTCTCAGAGGGTTCACAACTGCAGAGGCCCCATGCATGGGATATTCGAAACATCTTTTGTTTTGACTCTTCTAACGAAGAGCCATGTGCCGGGAAAACAGAAATGAGACAACACCGTCTGCTGGCACAGGGAGACACCTCGCTTTCATCAGCCTAGGAGGATCACCCCCACTTCATCTCTCCGCAGGAGAGTATAACGCTTATCTGGGAAATGTCGGAAGCACGCTCTGGGGCCAGCTCTGATTTTTACATACTTGGGAGCTTGAACAAGAGCCACCCAAGAGGCCAGGAATAAATTCTTTTCTCTCTGCCTTTTACCTAAATCCCAAAGAAATACTTTCTGCCTCTGTGGCCTCCTTAACAAAAGAAGAAAGGCCTGGGAATGGCCACATTGAGCTATTCAAAGACGGAGCTTGAGCTTTCCAAGAACTCAAATTGGCCTCGAAGGAACGGAGCCAAGGAGGTGAAAAGACTCTTTTTTTCTGGGCTTATGCGTCAGATCGTTTTCTAGCAGTCTGTCACAGCAGTCTCAAGGTTTGAGGCACATCCATGTGCTCTGGGACCTTGCAAATTCTTGCGGCCCACCCCGGACCTACAGCATCAGGCATTCAAAAGAAGAGGGGGATGGATGCTCTCCAGGCTCACCAGGGGGGCTCAGGGCTGAGACCCAGGATCTCAGAGGAGACAGGACCAGAAAGAAGACAGAAGAGGCCCTATGCTAGAGATGGAGTGTGACTGGGCCTGCAAGAATGAAGCACAATGAATGGACTAGAACAGCCTGACTCCCTGGGAAAGACTGACCTGGGAAGGAGTAGAGCTCATGTGTAGGACAACCTCACGCCGTGAAATCGCGGCAGCAGTCTAGCTGTCCCCGCCTGCCTATCCGATCAGAGGAGGGACAGGGGACTTCGGCAATCCCCCACCACACCCTCCAAAAGCCCAGGGGCCCCACTGTCTCCTTTATTCCGCACTCCAGGCCTGTGTGGTTGCAGGTGTCAGGACTCCTGTTTGAGGAGGCAGAGAGGTTCTCGTGACTAAAGTCACACAGAGGTGGGCGCCCGCGCTGGAGCACTGCCATGGCAGGGACTGCCTCTGTCTCTTGGCTTTCTTTCTCTAATTGTCACCACTGTCCGCATCTATTCCTCTCTCCCTGTTGACACTGTGTCAGCCAGCTTGCTGACACTATGACTACCCGAGAGGCCAACTTATTATGAAGAGAAAGGGTTTGTTAGACACACAGTTGGTGGCTCTTCGGCTGCTTGTCCCCAGGGCCTGGCGGATGCAGCAGGCCATGGAGATGGGGTACTGGAGCCAAACACCCACCTTGTGGTGGCCAGGAAGCACAGAGACCCAGGAAGAGACCTGAGTTCCAGAATCCGCCCTGCGGTCACACCCCATGAAATCACCTAGCCCCTCCCCTTAAAGATCCCAACACTCCCACTAGCATCACAGGAGGGGAACCAGACTCAACACACAGGCCTATGGGGTATTCCAGTTCCGCTTTATAGCAGACTCTTAGTGAACACCCCGCTGTCTACATGGCAAAACAGTACCCAGCCGGAGGGGAAGGGGAGACATGTTAACACAGAGCTCACTGCCCCTGGAAGGGCTCCGAGCAGCTTTCTTACACTGAAAGGTCTTCAAGTCTGAGATCTGAGCAGGGAGAGAACTCCCCAGGCAAACAAGAGTAGGAGAGTACACCAGGCCTCTTGAACAGCAAGTGCAAAGGTCCTGGGACAGCATGGCATAGTCCTTCATTGTCCATTCCAAGTACATGATGACAATCAGGCCTTCAGGGAATGGACACAGAAGGCTGACTGCTTACTGCTGGTTGGACTTCGCTTTCTACATGGCCACTGACAAAACTTTAAGGAACTGCCCTTGTGAAATTGTGATGTGATATCAGAGAAAGAGCCAGAGTTACAGAGGCAAAGACAGACTTCCTTCCAGTATTTCCACCAAAGAAACAGGATTGGGAAGACAGGGCCCAGAAGGGCCCATGTGAATCCAGCTAGCCAAAGACGGTCATCTAAACACATCTACAAAATGATGACACAGTTGGTTAAATTCTCCTTCACTAAATGTATTATTCTAGGAAGCATATTAACATACAGCCTTTTGGCAGCATTTGGCTTTGAACTCAGGGCCCACCACTTGCTAGGCAGGCACTACACATCCACCATGCCCCGCTTGTCTGTTGAGAGAGGGTCTCCCTAGTTTTTTGTCCAGGCTGGCCTTGAAGTACAATCCTCTGAATCTCCCATCTCCTAAATCCCTGGTACAGCCGTATGCCACCTCTCCTATTCCTTAACATTTAAGTTTCCTGGTATCCTTTGTAAATGATATAATATTTTAGTTTTTCTTAGACTTAATTCCTCTTATGGTTAATATTAATTGCTCCTGCCCATTTTGAACAATAAAATGTAGGGGGGTCTCAAGAAAAATTCTTTCTTGATAAGTCATGGGGCTTGAACTCAGGGCCTGGGAGCTGACCCTGAGCTTTTTTGCTCAAGGCTAGCCCTCTACCACTTGAGCCACAGAGCCACTTCTGGCTTCTTGCTGTGATTCACTTGGAGATACGAATCTCATGGACATTCCTGCCAGGGCAGGCTTTGAACCACGATCCTCAGTAGCTAGGATGAGTAGCTAGGATGACAGGCTGAGCCACCAGTGCCCAGCCACAAAAGTTCTGAGGTCACAGAGAATACTAAAACCAACCAGTGTGAGAATCCATTTGGTTAAACACCCTGTGACACAGACAGTCTACGTAGCTCCCTCGATACACAGAACTGAGGAGCAAAGAGGTCTGTGAACCTGCCCAAAGTCACACAGGAGGCAGAGAGGCTGGAGGTGGCCCCCATGGCCTCCTGACTCCCTCGCCCCCTCTGGCCCTCCCAGGTCTGCGAGCTCTGCCGGGGCGTGGCGCCTGCCGACAGCCCCGTGGTGTACGCGGACAGGGCCGGCTACGACAAGCAGTGGCACCCCGCCTGTTTTGCCTGCGTCAAGTGCTCCGAGCCGCTGGTGGACCTCATCTACTTCTGGAAGGACGGGGCGCCCTGGTGCGGCCGCCACTACTGCGAGAGCCTGCGGCCCCGCTGCTCCGGCTGCGATGAGGTGAGACCCAGGGACTATGAGGCCCAAGGGCTGTGCAGCTGGGCCCAGGCCTAGGGCTCTGTGGACCACTTTCCTCAGCTCAGGAAACTGAGGCAGCCTCACCGGAGGCCCCAGCCTCTACTTTTTCACTGGCACAGTGGGGTGACCCTCTCTCCCACCCATGGTCTCTTGGGCTGGGCCAGACACAGCATGCCCTGGTGTCTGGCTCTGTATACAGTGAACGCTGGGGGAGAGTATTATGGGCTGTGGCGGGAGGTGGACAGCCTATCCTTCTGTGCCTCAGTGGTCCTACTCTGCAGTGGGCAGCTGTGGGGGAGCGAGGTGGTGCATGGAAGGACTGGCATGGGAATGGTCTTGCACAGAGGCAGGAGACCACTACAGCAGAATGTCCTAGAGAATGGTCAGGGCCACCTCGGGGAACAGACAAAAGTCACTGTGCTGCGAAGGGCTGTGGGGTCCCGTGGAGGCTCACCTTATGAGGGGCTGCTTCATGAAGCCCAAGCAATGGCCACCTCTACTCACTGTCTCTGTTTGAAGCTAACACCCACAATCCTCTTATCACACAACCCTGTTATTCAGTAATTTTAAGGGGAAAGAATTGGGCATGGTGGCACATGCCTATAATCCCAGCTTTCAGGTAGGAAGAGCACACATGACAGGACAGCATCGGTTCATGGCAAGACCTCATCTCAGAGCTCCAGGAAAGACACCGGGGCGAGGGGCAGCACAGTGTCAGGCCCGCTCTGTGCCATTACTGTAGGGGGAGGACATGCTTTCCACGGTTCACAAAGGGCTCACGCCGGGTCAGTAGCTGGCTCCATGAAGGTGCGACGCGCCACTTACACCTCACACTGACACCGTGTGCAGGTGACACTGGGGACAAAGTCGGCTGTTTGTCCTGGACAGGTGGCTGTGGGCCCCACTGCTAGCACTGGAACCCTGCAGTCGCACAACCCAGTGCACAGAAAACCCGTGGCTCCCATTAGAGATGTGGAGGCTGGGGCATTCAGCTGTGTTCTGGGGTCACACCAGGCGTGTGCACCCCTCTCAGAACACAACCGGCCTCTAGATCTCACAGATGTGAGGCTACACCCTGCCCAGTGAGACAGGTGGTTTTTCCATCAGAGAGGCTACGATCCAACCAGGATGCTCAGCAAATACACAGCCAGCCTCGGGTTCCAGTCCCACTGCTGAGCTAGCTTTCAAAGGTCAAAAGCAAGCGCCGCGATGTGATGCAATGAGGGGCCTGCCATGGTCTGTCCTAGAGAGTCTCTGCCTAGGAAAGAGCCCAGGTTGACCGTCTCCTCTGTCCCCTGCCCAGATCATCTTCTCGGAGGACTTTCAGCGCGTGGAGGACCTGGCTTGGCACCGGAAACACTTCGTCTGCGAGGGCTGTGAGCAGCTGCTGAGTGGCCGGGCCTACATCGTCACCAAGGGTCAGCTCCTGTGTCCCACCTGCAGCAAGTCCAGGCGCTCCTGAAGGGCTACCCACCCAGCCACAGTGCCCTGGACCCACCACGAAGCCGAGGTGTGCTAAGGAGCCAAGATAACAGGCAGTAAGCAACATAAACCGCAATTCCTGGGCGAATATATATAGTAGGTTGAATGACGGTGGATCCTTGAGAGGCTGTAGCTTCAGAAGCAGAAAGGTCCTAACAACTCTTAGGATTGATTTATGTGCTGTGGTCTCCCAGCCACAATCAACTAAAGGCACCTGAGGTATCCTGCGAGGGGAGTGCTGGGAGGAATTTCCCAGAATGCAGTTGTGAGTCAGCCAATCACGTAGCAGTGAGATGTGCACTTTGGAGGGTGTGTGGGGCTCCCCCAGGGGGGCAGTGGGAATCTCAACTCTCACTCCTTGCCTCTTCTTCAAGTGGAGTTTGAGTCCTAATAAATAACTTTGTGGCATGAGAAACGTTATCAATAAAAGTTAAGTGGATTCCACATACGACTTTCTGGAATTCTTTACACCACAGCAGGGGTTTGGGGACATTGATTGACCCACATGACCTGGAACGCTGCAGCAGGCAAGTAAATGTATAAATGCTAATGAGCCCTAATCAGACTCCCACCCAGTACAGATCCTCAGGGCAGAAAGTCCCCGTACCATCCACCCTACCCACAGGGTGACCTGAGTCTCTGACAAAGACTTGTCTCATTGTACCCCAAAACACAACCTCCTGGGCCTTGAAGATCTCTTCCACCCAGGATTCAACTCAGCTGTGAGTCAAGGCAGGTGGGAGGAAGGGAGTTCAAGGCCAGTGATGCTCAACCAGCAGGTGCCACATGGTACCTGGGACCTGGGCGCACAGAGCTGCAACCAACGCAGCACTTTCATGGGAAATCACTCAAGTTTCATGTGTTGCCAACTGAATGTTCAGTGAGCAAAATAAGTCTTTTGGCCAGATTTTATCTCCCTTTTATGGTCTCTCTAAGTATTCTCAGCCCTCAAATTATTTTCCTTCTAAGGACTGTGTCATTATCTGCTGGGACCAGAGACCCGGGCCTCTGCACAGCCTGGTCTCTGTGGGCGTTCTTTAACTTCTGCCAACTTTCTCGCATTGACTTGTTCTGCCAGATTTCATTCTCTCTGTCCCTCAACCCAGTCTCCCATCCATCTGTGTATTTTATGAGATTGATGTGATCCCTCTGCCTCCTGCCTCCCAGCCTGACTCAGTTTCCCTGTCATCCCCACTTCTCAGAGACAAGATTTTAATGTCTGAATCCAGGGGGCACAGTATGCCCCAAAGAACAATGACCACTGCCTTTACTGGAGAGATGAGCCTCAGAAAAATATTCTCACAAGCCAATGGATGACAGCCACTGTGAGGCTAGAAATGGGAGGTTCATAGAGGAGAGATTGAACTTAGGAATCTCAAGAGAGGTGCCCTAGAAACGTGACTGTAGAACTGGGATCTGAGCGGTCAAGAGACTGAGTCAGCAAAGAGGGAAGAAACAATGGTTAAAGATGCTCATGTAAAGGCCTGTGCCTGTTCATTTAACACCTACTCATTGGTATTGGAGACACAGAGATGAATAGAGCCCATGGACAGTGGGAGCTGAAAGCAGGACTCGACCTTAGGGCCTGAGCGCTGTCCCTGAGCCTCTTTGTGCTCAAGGCTAGCAGTCTACCACTTGAGCCACTATGCCACTTCTGGCTTTTTCTGAGTAGTTTATTGGTGATAAAAGTCTAACAGACTTTCCCGCCAGGGCTGGCTTCAAACAGCCATCCTCAACTCTCAGTCACCTAGGCAGCTAGGATTATAGGCATGAGCCACCAGCACCAGGCTCCTGCATACTTCTTAATTTTCCTGGCCACAGACCATCTTCCTTCCTGCTCACCTTTTAGAATCCAGTGAACCACCTGCAGGGCCCTGGTTCAGTGCCGTCTCTGCCTCTTCTGTGCAGCACAAGACCGGAGGGGAGCTTTCACCGGACTGGGAAAGGCACGCCTTTAAAATGCCACGAAGTCTACCTCAGAGGCAGAAACAGGAATAATGGTGGTCAAGGCCAGTCCAGACCTCACCTCCTCAAAGAAGCCACACATGATCGCACATATCTGTACGTAAGCAGGAGGCATAAGTACAAGAACTGCAGTGAGAGGCTAGCCCCAGGCAAAATCATGAGACCCTATGGAAAAATAAAAAGCAAAGTAAAAAACACTGAGGTCCTACCTAGCTCAAGTACCTGCCTAGCAAGTGGAAGGCCCTGAGTTCAAGCCTCAGAAATGACAAAAGAAAGAAAAGTTAGTGTTACCTCTTGTGTTACTTCATCCCCATGTCAGCCTGAGACACCCAATCTCTGCAGAGACCCCCTGGCTGAGGCCCAGGGGCATTTTAGGTCCCCTAACCCCACTCCCAACACCCAGGCTCACAGACACCATATAACTTTTATTGTGCCACAATACCTAGGTTTGTAAAATGCTCCCCTGTGACCTTCCTTTGTTAATTCCACTGAACAAATTATAGTTGCATCTATTTGTGGGGGGGGGGGGGAAGGGATGCATTTGAATCCACTTGCAGTTTGGAGAAATCTCATCTCTTTATATTCCTCACACTTCTCTGAGGCCTGGCCAGCCCCAGGACCATGGCTGTTCACTCCGCTAACAGCTCTAGCATCCTGAATGCCAAGACCACAAAGAAGGATTTCCAAATGCAAACCATGGTCTCAGCTGGCCTCCAGTGCCTGCCTCCCCCTCACAGCCTCCTTAGCTGGAAAGAAAGGGCTCAATGCCACCATGGCATCTCCACCAGCCATGTCTTAGAGCAATGTTTCTCCTTAGTGAATGGCGAGGCTCTGGAGGAATTAGCCCTGTTTTGCTTTTCTTGTCATAGAGTTTCAAACCTCTAAAAGTTGCAAGAAGCCAGGCGCCAGTATCTCACACCTGTAATCCTAGCTACTCAAGAGGCTAAGATCTGAGGATTGCAATTCAAAGCCAGCCCAGGCAGGAAAGTCTATGAAACTTACATCTCCAATTAACCACCAAAAAAATCTACAACTTGTGGCTCAAAGTATTAGAGCACTAGCCTTGAGCACAAAACCTCAGAAACAGCATCTAGGCCCTGTGCTCCAGCCTCAGGACACATATGCATGTGCACACATGTGTACGTACACACACACACACACACACACACACACACACACACACACACACACACACACACACACGAGAAGAAAGACTGTTGCTGACCTAAATCCTATTACTCCTGAATTCCACAGAGCTGGCAGAACCATGTAGTTACTTTGTCTCCCATTTTGTTGCTGTTGTTGGCAGTACTGGAATATGAACTCAGGACCTGCAACTTTGTAGGCAGGCACTCTACCACCTGTGTGACACTTCTAGCCCTTTTCACTTTAGTCATTTTTCCTGCAGAGTTTCATATCTTTGTCCAGGTAAGCCCAGACCGTTATCCTCCTATTTAATGTCCCATATAGCAGGGATTACAGGCATCACCCAAACCATCTCACCGACATCTGCCTAAACTGGCTTTGAACAGTGGTCTACCAATCTCCACCTCCCAAGCAGATGGGGTTATAGGCAAGAGCTCCTGTGCCCAGCCATCTTAAGGGAAATCTACATTCTAGAGGCTACTTTTTTGTCAGAGTTCAAGAGAAGGGCCAGCTTCAGGAACAAGGAGATCCAGTAGTTGAAATCATAAGTTAAAACAGAGATTCTTTCCTCCACCTGTCACTTCTGATTTCCTCTACTCTGGCTTCACTGTCACAGTCACCCAGAGAAGGACAAACATGGCTGTCCACGTCAGGGCACACCCCCTGGAGCCCGGATGGCCAATATTGAAGGGATGTCTAGAACTCAGAAGGCTAAGGCAAGAGGGTCACAAGTTTGAGGCTAGCTGGGCTGCATAGCAAGACTGTGGATTTGAGGAAGAGGAAAAGGGAAGGAGGAAGAGGGAAAAGGAAGGAGCCTTCCAGAGATTGCCAGCAAGAGTCATGCCCAATCCTTGACCAAGTTCTGAAGCGGAGTTCTGGCACACTTGCCCTGGTAAACCTTGGTCATGGGTTGGTCCACCAAGCTCAGAGTCAGAAGGATTTGGAAACTCAGCCACATGCCAAAGACGTGAAAACCAGAATCTTGATCAAATAGAGGCCCTGGGGCTGGAGGCTCAAATGGCAGCATGCCAGCAGAGCCAGCAAACTAACTAAGTACAGGGCCCTGAGTCCAAGGCCCAGTACCTCAGTTTGCCAAATTTTCAGGTTAACCCATCCACTGGCATCACCTGCTGGTGACTGTGGCTCAGGACGGGAGGAGGCTCACAGGGGGAGGCTGATAGCCACAGCCCAGGGAGGAGCCAAGTTTCAAAGCTCATCTAACGGTCACCACCAGGCCACTCAAAATCTCATCAGTCTTGATAACTTTTTTAAATTACTAACCAGTAAGACTAGCGTTTTTAAAGAGCCTAAATAAAAGGGCATTTTGTGCTGGAAGGTTTCCTCTACATCTGGAGGTTTCTGGTGGCTTGTGTTGTGTTGAGCAGTGAACGATGTTGGAGACGGACGAGGACTGTTTCATGGGAGAAGTTGAATACACAGAAAGGATGGACTTCCACACGTTCAAATATGGAAAATTTTAAAATAGGAGAATGACACAAACAACTAATGATCCCAATCTGTTAGATTCTGCTGGCCTGGGTTCTGGCACGTCATCTAGTATAGGAATGATGAAATGTAATTAGCAGACATCACAGGGCTCTGTCTGCCCTACAAGGGAGCATTTCGGTCTGCGTTGTCAGGAGCGCTGGCGCTGGGTGGCATTCGTCTCCAGCTGATAAGATGGAGGAGGAGCCCTCCAGCAGGCAGCCATTCTCAGGGCCATGTCAGGCCCTGGCCCCAGCGCCAGGCCAAGTAGGAAGACGCCTGTCTGCTCAGGGCAGTGCCGGTGTGGCCCGACTGCAGGGGAGGGGGAGGGGATATCTTGAGGCACAATTGCAAGTGCTGAGCTTTCTGAACTGCCTTCCCGCTGCTGCCTGTGCGGTGCTCCCTCTTCTAGGAAGCCCTCAGTGATTCCTCTAGATGCTCTTCTCATTCCCTACCAATCATGGGATTCATGCGGCCTTTGACCCCACTGCACATATTGCACACTTCATGGTTTGCCTCCCAAATACTCCCTCATTGGCTCTTTTAATCATTCATTCATTCACCAAGCATCTACCTAGCACTTCCTGTGGCCTGAGCAAGGTGTCAGGCACTGGCAGGCTCTATCACGTGAGCCATGGCCCCAGCTCTTTTGTGTCCTTTAGTTAGCTGGGTGTTTTTTTCCACGTATGGTTTTGAAGTGCTGCCCAAGGATAGCCTTGGACTTGGTCCTTCTGCCCAAGGACTCTACTATAGCTGGCATGGCAGACACATGCTACCACGCCTAGTTTATGATTGAGATGAGGTCTCTAACTTTTTTGGTTCAAGGTTTATCAT